TCCGCCCCTTCTCACCTGTGCACTCGCCGTCCTTGAGGGCGTAGCCGGGCTCGCAGGTGAGCGCCTTGTAGCAGCGGAAGGAGCCCAGGGTGTTCACGCAGTGCTCGCCCCGGCTGCACGTATGAAGGTCCGTCACACACTCGTTGATRTCTGCGGGGAGAGTGCGCGAGGTGGCCGTCAGGACCTGCAGGGCACTCTGGATCCAGAGGCCCAGCACAATCAGGGGACCTCAGGCCACCAGGAGGCAAGGGGCGCCAGGCTCTGCCCTTGGAGGTACTCATCATCCAGAGAGGAGCACGTGCTGATGTCCCCTTATCCAAAACTCCCTTCATTCAACAAAGATTTACTAGGAACCAGCTACGTGTCAAGCACGCTTCTTGGCAAGAGGGACAGGTCAGCGACCAAGACGAACAGACACGGCTACCGTCGCGGAGCAGACGCTCAGATACATCAATGCTCACGACAAGGAGGGTGGTCACCAGCGTTATGGAGAAAAGGGAGGACGACACGAGGGGGGGGGTTGGTGCAGCAGGAAGTGAAGGGGACATGTAGACAAGAACCTGGGAGGGGTGACAGAGACAGCCAAACGGATGGTCCAGGCCAGAGGGGATAGCTGTGAGGGCCGGGACCGGTCAGGACCCTGGCAGAGTTGTGGCTGCAGGGGAGAGAAGGACGACTGAGCAGGTGAGGATGGAGGGCAGGTGGGAGCCACGGAGGGTTCCCCACAGAGCGGGGAGGGTGTCCTGCTGCAGAGGAGAACAGACTAGGGCTGAAGAGAAGCCAGGCGGGAGACGGAGGTGGCTGGGAGCACCACCCATGGAGGTGGGAGGAGGAGTTGGAAGATTCTAGAAAAGCCGGAGGCAGAACGAATGAGATGCATTGACCAGACAAGATGGACGAAAAAGCTGCGCGGCCGGTAGCCATCCCGCAGGGGCAGCTGGAGAAGCAGCCTGCAGGGGAGCCTGGGAGCCCGGTGGCCGCGGGTCCAGGAAGGAGCTGGGGACACTGAGGAGGACTAGGGGAGAGACCCCCCAATCACAGGAGACCCAAGGTGGCTGGACTGCAGCAGCAGCAGCAGCTGGACTGGGATCCAGCCAGCCTGGCCCGGGCTGCAAGGCCCCGCTGTTCAGTGCTGGCAGCAGGGGGCGCTCTTCCACCTCCCAACTTGCTGCAGCCCAGCTCATCTAGGGCACCCGCCCCAGGGGACCAGACAGTCCTCCCAGGGCAGGGCACAGGGGAGTCCCTGGCAGAGGTGACACCAACACAGTCCCACTTAGGCTCACATGCCTCTAGTGCTGGGGCGCTCACTACCTCTGCTGGTGGCCTCTGAGTAATGTATTTGAAGAAAAATGACGACACTAAAGCTCTGGCCCACTTCTTACCTGAACTCACTCACAGGGGGGTTTTGGTTCCAGGGATTGACCCCAGGGGTGCTTAACCCCAGAGCCCCATCTCCAGGCCCTTTTATGTTTTATTTAGAGACAGGGTCTCGCCGAGTTGCTGAGGGCCTTGCTTATTGCTGAGGCTGGCCTCCAACTTGKGATCCTCCTGCCTCAGCCTCCCCAACTGTTGGGAGGAAAGGCGTGCACACAGCACCTGGCCTAYCTCACAGTTCTGAGGCAGGGGCTTATCTCACTCTCAGATGAGGGATCCAGGAGGTGGAGCAATTTTGTATAAGGTCTTAGGAGTAAAGTGCAAAAGCAGGACTTGAACCCCAGCAGCCTGGATGTGAGACCTCRGGTTCCCACGCGAGCCTCCCCTCCCACCTGCCGAAAAACAAAGAGCCACAGGGGCCCCAGGAGGCGGTGACAGACGTGCACGTAACGGASAGAGTGCGGGGAAGCCTGTATGTGATGAAGAACGATCAGACGGTCAGACAGGACGTGTGCGGTGCAGGAAGCAGGCGGGCAGCCAGAGGTGTGCTCGTGAACCTTGCTCAGTGCACAGACTGTTGGCATTTCATCTCCTAAACCCATTTCCCGGCTGCCTGGGGACCCCTAAGAGCACAAGATCTTCTTTCCTAGGCCACCTGGAAGCCCGCACACTGGGGCAGGCAGGAAGAGGGCGTCCTGGGAAGGACGTCCACCGGCCCCGGGGGGATCTGCCTCCCCAGACGCACACACAGCCCCGACCCGCACAGGAGGAGAGGCCAGCCGCCGGCAAGCAGGTTTGAGAGGGCCCCATGTTCTGCCCGTGGCTGGAGGCCGGGGGGCAAACATGTCTGTGAAAGTCGCTCAGCCAGCACCCCGGGGCCTGTCTGCCCAGCAGCAGAGGGTCACAAAGGGGACATTCCAGGCTGGACATGGCCTTCAAGCAAGGAGAAGGCATCATATGGGGGCCTATCCCGGGCCCTGAGTGACCTCTGTGCAGACCCTACCTCTGGGCCTTCGCCTGGGCCGTTCCTTCCACCCTGCACACCCTTCCCGGTTCCCAGCCTGTCCACCCTGGGGGAGCAGGCAGATTCCACCCTCCCCAGCTGCTCTGCCCGTGTCTCTGCTGTAGCTTGACCTCTGTGTCCCCTGCTGCGCCTTTGCATCTACCTCCGTTTGGGGACTGTCCCCTGTAGAAAACCAAGGGCTCCTGTGTCCTTGGCCCACCACCCACAGAGCCCCGGGAGCCCCGGCCGCTGGCCACACCAGCACCAAGGAACAGGCCGGAGCGCCACCACCCAGCAGCCACTGTGACCTGTGCAGGCTGGGCACTGGGYACCACAGAGGCTGAACTGCTCGGGGTCACCCAGCAAATGGTGGGAACAAAACCAGATYAGCTGGACCCCAGCCTCTGTCATGCACCTCTGGAGAAGGTTCTAGATGCATCCCAGGTACCTGGACAGCTAGACCCGGGCTCTGGACTGTACACATCCAGTGGTCATCAGATGAAGACCAACGTAAGATCCACTTTTCTTTTTTTCGTACCAGGGATTGCTTAACCCCTGAGCCATGCCCCAGCCCTTTGCTACTAAGTTGCTGAGGCTGGCCTCCAACTTGCCATCCTCCTGCCTGAGCCTCCGGAGTGGCTGGGAWGGCAGGTGTGCACCACYCCACCTGGGAGCAGCTTCCTCTGTAACAGACTAGGAAACCGTGGCCAGGAAATGGCAAGTGACTTTATGTCTAAAGTCAAAGCGAGGTGGGAACTCCCAGCTGCCCCACTGCCTCTAGATGCCACCGTGCCTGATGCCCTCCTCAGYGACCCACCCAGCCTGGGGACACATTCTGCTGAGTGTTCTGACTCCTGGGGACGTCGCTGGACAAAGAGGCTTCCCGGAGGAAAGGCAGGACAGGAGGCCAGGACAAGGACATGAGACGGAGCGGGGGGTGCCGGCTGGGGACAGCTCACGGAAGGGCCTTAGCGCGTGGAGCAGAGCGGCCGTGAGCGGGCGGCGGGAGGCCTGGCGCTTACCCACGCACTTCCTGTGTGCGTTGAGGATAAAGCCCTGGGCACAGAGCAGTGTGTGATTGACACAGGAGAAGGATCCCAGGGTGTTCACACAGAACTGTCGCCGGCCACAATCGTGAGTGCCCGCCAGGCACTCGTCTCGGTCTAGCCGCAGCCACGGGAGGGAAACAGAGCGGCCGTTAGCGGGCGGGTGCCAGCCACAGGTCTGAGGCTGGCCTCCACCTTGCCATCCTCCTGCCTCAGCCTCCTCAGTGGCTGGGCTGGCCTCCACCTTGCCATCCTCCTGCCTCAGCCTCCT